GTTCAACAGGAATTCCGTGAGAGTGACTAACTGGCATTCCACACAACTTGCTTTCATTGAGTGTCCCCTCCGAGGAGGTGTGTGGGATGTGGCTCTTGGGTCACTGTTGGAGGGATGAAGCTATAGTATGGCTGAGAATTCAAATCCCACTGATGTTTCTTTATGGAATGGCTGCTCTTGCAGAGCGTGCCTTCACAGGCTCTGTCCTTTGCTCACCAGGCTCCATCTGCCTGGAAGGCCTTTCCTCCCCATGGCCTGGCCCTCTGTAAAACCTGCTTCCCTTCTCACTCCTACAATCTAGTTTCCACAGGGCAGCCAGTGGGACAGCCTTAGACCCCAAAGCCTGCCCACCTGTCTACCTGCACCTCCTCTCATGGTCCCTCTCACTCTCTGTGCTCTAGTCACTTCTGTATTTTTTCCTTTTCCTAAGCATCCCCAATTCCTTCCTACTTCTGACGTTTTCTCTTGTCTTCCTTTTCTAGGGAAAGCCAAGGCCACCTCCTTCTCAGCCTTCAAGTCTCGGCTCAAGTTCTGCTTCCTCAGGAGTCCTTCCTTGACCATCTTGCCCAAAGTTGGCCACCTCCACCACTCCCTCCATAGTCACGGTTATTCGATCCATTACCCTATTTTATTTTCTTCCTAAATCTTCTCTCTCTTAGATGTTCTTATTTATTCATTTACATATGTACTTCTTGACTCCTCCCACCAACATGTAAATGCCATTAGAACTGGGACTTTGTCTGCCATGTCCACAGTTGAATCCTTGAAGCCCAGTACAACCAGACACTCAAATATTTGTTAAATATTGTAGCATCTGTCTCTATTTAAAACAAAGTAGTTAAAAGCATGGACCTGTGTGCTCTTCCCACTGGGAGAAGTCACGGCCTCTTTAAACTTTATTCTCCTTTATAAAAGAATCGAGAGCACACTCAGTGGTAGTTATTATTAATTTTCAAGTTGTACTACCTGCACTAGTCCAAGACCCCCAATGGCAGGCACTTTGTCTTTGCATTCACATGCCTTGAAGCTTCACCCCCGCAGCATCCTCTATTTTCCTCTTCTTACAGGACATGTCACAGTGCCCTAAAAAGTCTATTTACGAGGGTATTCAAAAAGTTCATGGAAAAATAGTATTAAAATATGAATCTTTCCATGAACTTTTTGAATTCCCCTCATATTTCTCTGTTTCCCCCACTATACTGAATTCCACAGGGACATCAATATCTACAAAACCTAGCACAGTGCCTGTTGTACTTGTGTAATAAATACATGGTGAATAAGACTAGCAGACACCTAGTATGTCTCCAAGAAATATATTTTGAGTCAAGTTCTTTCTAGAAAAGACATTGTAAATATAAGAATTAAAGAATAATACCAGAGAGTATATGATTAAGTGCCGAATTACATAATCAAGTGATAAAATGTGTAGTATAGATATTGGATGGCAAAGGTGGCCAACAGAGAGACTCTTAGGGCCAGGCATGGGACCTTGGTCAGTGATGTGGGTGGGACAGGGACTGGGGCCAACTGGAGAACACATCTCACCTGCATGGCAGCCACTGCTCAGCTCCAGATTTCTGTTGCCATTCTGGAACATTGGCCTCAAATCTTTAATTTTTCAAGCGAATTGGAAATCTGAGTTTTTATATGTCTCCCAAATTTTCAAATTGTTGACAACTAACTTAAATTTATTAAACAATTATCTGAGATGAGCAAAGCATGTTTGGGAGCTACTTTGTAACCTATGACCAAGGGCTCTAGGTGTCCAAATGGAGGTTGAGCCCCAGACAGGCAGTAATGGAAGAATCCACTGGAGGCCAACTATCAAAACTTCACTCCCAGGCCGGCCCGGTGGCGCACTGCTACAGTGCGCCGCTTGGGAGTGCGGTGGCGCTCCCGCTGAGGGTTCGGATCCCACATACAGACCGGTTCCCGCTCACTGGCTGAGCGAGGTGTGGG